GTTTTCCTTATAGATTTTCATTATGGTACTTAGTACCATAATGAATTCATTATGGTACTTAGTCCCATAATGAATTCATTATGGTACTTAGTCCCATAATGAGCTTCCTTATGTCATCAAAATTGAGTGACATAACGTTGTCATTATGACATGTCATCAGATAAATATAGTTATGAAAAATACATTACCTATAGAGATTTCGCAAACTTTGATATCGACTCATTCAATCATGACCTATCCTGTGTTGACTGGGATACCATTTACCTATTTGGAAATGTGGATGATATGTTATCTTTTTTCAATGACAACTTGATTGCTATATTTAATCATTATTTATATATTTATTTATATATATATTTATTTTGTCTTATTTATGTTTGTTATTCATTGTAAATTGGGTTATCCCGTGAAATAAATAAATAAATAAATAAATAAATAAATAAATAAATCATGCTCCTTGCCGTAGAGTTAGAGTGACTAAGCCTGCAAAACCATGGATCACATATAACATCAGGCTTATGCTTGAACTGAAACGGAAAGCCTTTCAACGGTATAAAAGGTTGAGAACACCTGCATCTTGGGAATACTACAAAGTTTTGCGCAACTATGTTTGTGGTGCCGTTCGTCGTGAAAAATGTGCATATTTCAACTACGTATTACGACTAAATAACCCTAGAGCTACCTGAAATACTCTTAGGTCACTTGAAGTACTTCGGGATAAAAATATATCTCACCTACCACCTGGGTTGAGAAATCTGAACCTATTGAATGAACACTTCATTAATATTCCGACGTTAGATAAAACCGCAGGAGACGATCTGTGTGAGACATTATATGCAATTCCTAAATGTGAACCTGTTTTCGAATTCCATCCTGTAGGATGTGGAACTGTCGTGAAATTCTTGAATAAGATAAAAAGCAATGCTCTAGGATCTGATGATATTTCTCTTCGGATGTTGCAGTTAGTTATACCCCAGTTGCTTCCACATATCACTTTCATTTTCAATTTTGCCATCGATTCTTCCACATTTCCCTCTCTTTGGAAACATGCTAGAGTAATTCCTTTGCCTAAGTGTAATGACCCCAAAGAATTTTCAGACATAAGACCTATCAGCATTCTACCTACTCTATCTAAAGCTTTTGAAATGGTTATCAAGGAGCAGGTCACGACTTTTGCCTGTGAGAAAAATTTATCAACTGATGTTCAGTCGGGTTTTCGCCAACACTACAGCACTACCACAGCTTTGGGTCAAATAACAGATGATATTTTCAAATCTCTCGAAAATGGTCATTTCACTTGTCTTATCTTGCTTGATTATAGCAAAGCCAGGTAGCGCAGTGTCCCTGTTGCGTAGTTATCTATCAGATAGGACTCAAAGTGTTATTATCGAAAAAAATCAATCTACCACTCTCGTGAAACCTTTTGGAGTACCTCAGGGATCTGTACTGGGACCGCTCCTGTTTGCGCTATATATAAGTGATTTTCATGAACACATAAGGTATGGCAATATACATCATTACGCTGACGATACACAATTATATAGATCTTTCAGTTTTGATGACTTAAAACATGCTGAAGTTGAAATCAATGAAAATCTTCAACTATTGTTCGAAGTTTCGTGTGCCCACAACTTGAAACTGAACCCTAAGAAAGTCATGCTTTTTGGTCCAAGAACTAAGAAACATATTGTGAGTGACACCATTTCTATTCGTATTGACGGCAACGTCATACCATTTGTAGATGAATGCAAGAATCTGGGATTATATCTTGATACTAATATGAGATTCACTAAACATGTAAACCACTCATGTAGGTTATCTTTCAATATCCTGAGACAGTTATATCCTAGTAGGGACCTGATTTCAAAAAATATGAAGTTGAGACTGTGTGAATCTCTCATTTTTTCGAGACTGTCCTACTGTGACTGTATTTATGGTCCTGCCCTACTAGATACAGATGCTACAAGGCTACAGAGGATACAAAATAGCTGCATACGATTTTCATACGGCATCCGTAAGTATGACCATATTAGTACATCCTTCCAAGATTCAGGTTGGCTGAAATTGAAGCTGTGCAGGGAGATGCATTATGCTAACTCTCACCCATAAAACATTGAAAACTGGATACCCGCCTTACCTACGTAGAAAATTGGTCCCACTTTCACGTAATAATTCCTCCCGTAACAAACATATTCTACTCATTCCCAAACACCACACAGCACAATTCACCCGTTGCTTCTCTTATAATGCTTCTAAATTATATAATACCCTTCCCTCAGAAATAAAAGAATTCACTTTAAAAAATTTCAAGAAGAGATTGAAAGCATTGTTTCTTACAAGGGAATGATATAATGGTTACAAAGCTAGTTTCTCTCCAGGCGTGACGATATGTTATGTATGCATTACTTGGTTTATCATCTTCATTGATATTATCAACTTATTGTTTTTACGATTATTATCATCATTGTTTTCACTACTATTATCACCATTATTAATATATTTATATTCTAATCGCATTTTACTGTTAGTATAGCATATATGATTATGATCATTATTATTTTGGATAAACTTTATGTTATTATTACCTACTCATCTTTTTTTTTTCTTCTTGAGGATGGGTTTGAAAGCAGCTTTGATAGCTGAACCTCTCCTTTTCATCATCTTAATGTATTATATTTCTAATTTGTTTGTGTAATTTCCTTATTGATGATGAATAAAGACACATTATTATTATTATTATTATTATTATTATTATTATTATATACAAAAGTGGCATGAAGTGACAACTTAAGTCAATCAATAATCATCGTTATGATACAGAGTGGTAAAGATAGTCAGTGGATTTGATATTGTTTTAAATAGTATTCCAACAGTATTCAGCAACATTGGCCTCAAAAGTGCCTATCACTAAATCAATGAATTGAAGAGATTTTGTATTTCGTGTAAAATTTCTTTTAAAATCGCGAAGCGCTTTCGGCTGGAAAGCCATTATCAGTGCTATACCTGCAAGTAAGTAACATTAATGTAAATTTCAAAAAACAAATCCAAAAGTGTAGATTACTTAAGTGGGGTTCACAACCAAACTTTCCACGTTTTGCTTTTCACGTTTCGTATTCTGATTGGTGAAGGGGAATATGAAATTAAACGTCATGTCAATTCCAGACTGTGCTTCACCAATCAGAATGCGAAACGTAAAAAGCAAAACGTAAAAAGTTTGGTTGTGAACGCCGCTTTACTCGTCAAGTATTCACAAAAAGGTCCAAAAATTAGTGATCGACGACATCATTATGGTACAAACGGAATTAGGAACAGACAAATATACATTTAACAAAAAAGTTCCCTGATGAGTTATTGTGAAATTTTTCAAAAATACATGTTAAAATTGTTTGGTTCAGGTCCAGGAAGAGCACTGAATACCAATTCGAGAAGAAGATAAGATCTACACTGCTTTTGAGGCTGGGGGCCGTCTTTATCAATTTCGACGAATTCCATTTGATGTCACCAATGGTGTGTCTTGTTTTCAACGTACAATGAACGATATTATATCGAAGGAAGATCCAAAAGGAGTATTCGCCTATAACAACTGTATGCGGAGAAGAAATGCACAACACAAATTTGACGGCTCCTCTTTCATCAGTAAAAAAATACGGACTAACGCTCAACGGAAATAAGTGCCATTATTCGAAAAAAACAATCGACTTATTAGGATATACCATCAAAAATTTAACATTGACACCTGACCAAGAAAGGCTGAAACCTCTACTCAGTTTACCACTCCCTGATAATACAAATCAATTCGGCGGGTAGTTTGTATGTTTTCACACTAAGACAAAATTTTATAATGAAAACTATGTGAGATCATTATTTACCTGAAAAATCATATTCCTTCGTCTCTCGCTGCATTTTTTTTGCATTGTACGACAGGATGAAAAATGGCATATATGAATTAGTGAAAGAAATACGATTCTTATGACAAAATATTGTGAAAAACTATGTCAATCCCTTGATTGCTTTTTGAATGTTCGTACACGCGACCTATAAGAGCGGAGTGAAAAATAACCTCATACTTCCATCCCTCTACCTGTCGAAGATGATGTGAATAAAATTGCAAAACAATCACAAATAATCAGGTGAAGTCAAGAATTTCACAAAATCAATAGCCCTTCTCACCAGCTGCCACCAACAAACCATCAACATCAACATTCTGGATAAAAAAATACTGAGTGTACTGGAGCAAGCTACTTATGAGAGACAGGTGAGTTCCTTCTGAATTATTATAAGTTCAAAAACTCATGTTATGTTTTTTTCAGGTCCTGAGCCATCAGTATCGATACACTCATCCCAAGGTGGTATCAATGATATATAGTGTTATGTCAGTTCAGAGTCTGAATAAATGAATCAAAGCATAAAGTAAGTTTCTCCATCACCTAAAATAGTATTGTTACTGAAAATCCGAGGAAGGGTAATTTTCACGTCACAATATGATTCGATGTGTATTGACAGGTTGACCGTGTACTCATCTAATGAGAATCTATGAAAGTTGCGAATTATTCTTTCATTTATCTTATTACTTTTTGTTCAAACTGTCACATATTTTTCAGTTTTTGTATTGTTTCGAAAATATATTTTCTTGATGTATTCACCTCGTTTTTCACTGGTTCGCTATGTCCACTGTTTCCATAAGACGGTACACAGTGAACCAATTGACATGTTTTTTTGAAAAAAATATTATAGTTCACTTTGTTGCCGCCACCCTGAAGTACTTAGAAAAATGAATTGAATTAATGTTAATCGAAATTATTTATCATTGGCGTTTATTATGAACAGAACTGATTCACTGCGGGACAGTTTACCCTATACTATTATTTAGGTACTATTATATATCTGTACATTTCATTGAGCCTCATAACGATATTGTCCAATTTCCAAAATATGCAGTTTCTAATAGGTATCAACGAATATATATACCATTCTTTAGGTACTATCAAATATCTACTTACCCACAGTATATCCATCAGAAACTTTGGTCATCAATCCAACATCGAACTGCCAGTTGATGGCCAAGGCTTGACTCAATAGATTACACCAGATAGTGTACCTCGAACTATAGTTTGGCTTAGGAATAATCAAGAATTTTTGGTATACTTGTTGTAGAAGCTTTTGATCGCATTCCCAGGGGCAGCTGGTGGAACCGATCAAAATAACTCTATCTTCTGGACTGAAATCTAAAAAAAAGAAATAATCATTCGACACTTGGACATAGGATCAGTCAAGAAAACTGGATATAATAATATGTCCTTGTTATTCTCAATATTCAATAGTTATTTATTATACAAGGGAAAAAAGTTGTAGATTTTAGCTCCAGGTTGTGTTGTCTCCCGACGCGTAGCGAAGGGAGACAAAAAACCGTGAGCTAAAATCTAATATTTTTCCAGTGTGAAACACACTATTTTTTTCTGTGACAGACGAAAGCACCAATCAATATTGAGAAGATATTACATTATTTTGAAATCTGAAAATTATCGACGTGAAATTTTAAGTTTTCAACAGTAGGGACACCTGCGTTGTATCTTTATCATTCTTTTGAAGTAATCAAATATCTGATGTCACTTCTGTCAGTGTGATTCTGTGATTTGATTTCATGAAATTGCTAATTTAGTGGTTGTTTATTAATATACATACGTAACCGCGGAGTCGAATGGAAGATAAAAGGACTCCTTTTCATAGGGGCTATTTGAAGCAGAAGGTATACGAAACTGAACCTGCTTCAATATTGGACAGACGGCAAAGTATCACAGATATTTGTACAACTATATCGACGTTACTGTGAAATATCGAATAGGCTGTGCCTAAGGGCTGTGCCCATATCAAGAAGTTCAAAGCAACCATTTCGAGCATCTTCTGAACTGAACTCAGCTCACTTTCTTTAAATATGAAGTTGAACGTCGATGTATTGGGACTAATAAATGTTCCGCTATTGTGTAGTAGATGAAGATATTGACTTGATATTCTGTGGCTGTGAAGTATTTGTAGGGAGCTTCAAAACGATGTGTCACACGACCCCCCTTCCTATTCAATTTTTATTTCCTCGCCATCTTGAAATTTTCATCTGTCAATTTCACTCCACTCCAATTCAATTATCCCAAATTTCAATGCATTCAGTTGACCCGTTCAAAAAATAAATGGTGGGTTGGGAATTTGAAGAGAAGCACTCTTCATATTCGAATCGTTCATTATGTGGATGAGAGCAAAAACAACTACTTAATATTGGACACTTTTTTTTCAGAACTATTATGATGAAAGACCTATATTTGACTTTGAAAAAGTAAAACATTTTGTGCTATTTGTTGTGATTGAACATATGTTCGGCTACACAAGATTTATATCCATAAAAACAAGGTTCAAAGAACACATAGCCCATTTGAAATATGGCAGGTTAGATAAATCTTGTGTAGCCGAACATATGTTCAATCCCAATCATAACACACATATTACTAACCTCAAATTAGTTAAGCAAGTTAATAACATTAGAAAGCTAGACGCATATGAAAGCTTAGAGATATTTAAGAATAGTAATAGAGTAATGAATAAGGATAATGGACCTATTCCATATAGCCCTCTATATAGTTTAGTAAAATGAAAAAATAAGATCAACATGTGAACTCAACCATGACAAACATTAACTTGACGGTTAGTATTTTTCACAGTTGGATGAACATATACCTATTATATAAGCAGCACACTAGAATTGGATATTTACTTTTAATCTTCTCCTGAAGATGCTAACATAGTAAGCGAAACACGTGTCGAGGCGTCAAAAAATCGGTTTGGTTAGTGGTAAAACAGTGTAGTGTATATATAGGGTGCTGACAATTTGAAAGCTTAGAATTGATGTAACTCATGTATATGATTGACACCCTGTAGCTCTAAAACTGGTCATAGGATCGATCTGTAAATTGGACCGTGTAAGAAGGACGCTAATACCTGAAACACATCAAACTTTCAGAAAGATCAGCCGAAAGCCATTTTCCGTACTGAATGTGCGGGGTCCTTTCACGTTGGTAACGACTGAATCGGTCGCAAGCAATGTCGAAAATATGGTCGTATTTTCTGTGTGCCTTTCCAGGTCATGATGTATCTGCTAATGAAATAATTGCTTCGAAAATCACCTATGAAGAGACGTTGAAAATTACAACTCTACGGTAGGTATTGATTGAAAATTAATTCGAGAAATTTGATTCAGGTGCAGGATTCATCTCTTACCAGAATCAATAAAACGAGCATTTGATCTGAACATCATCCTACAAAAACCAAATATTGGTTTGGGATCATACACCAAACATTCGCTGATCTTATTTTAGGATGGTATCATCGTCAAATGAGGAATTCTACGTTATTCCAGATAACTTGAAACCATCATTAGAAAATGTATTGATAAGACATAATTATGATGATCAACCTTCAGCTGATTGAAGTGTTATCAAACTCCAATCAACTAGGTTAGGTTCCATGTGAGTGGGGCGAACACCTCCCCTCCACTGCGACCCCAGATGGATCTATTGTGGCTCACCCCTAGAGGTTACAGTTCACCGTACAATCCACATCTTTTTACAAAGTTCATGGTTGAATTGGGTGAGATTTGTCTGAAATCGATAGGTTCTAGGTTGGTAAAGCCAAATGTGTCGAACCTTAGTCTTTTTAAGCTAGAGCATGAACATAATATGTGTTCAGCCGTTTCGTCTTCCACACAACAGAACCGACAGTCCGTTTGTTGGTTCAGACCCATCCTTCCCAGGTGGTATCTTAGACGACAGTGTCCCGTCCAGTCATAATCCGCAGGTTACCCCTGCTCCATTCTAGGATCTGCCTGGTTATTTTTTCCGATGGTTTAGGCAGGAACGCCTTCGAATGGGTTAATCCTGGTAATTCGGACCAGTACGTGAGTGTTTTTCCCTCCGCCCAGCCCGAGATAGTTGTTTTCGCCGCACCTGCGGTGACCCCAAAATATGGTTCTGGTCCTATGAACACAGATTCGGTTCCCTGTTTGGCGAGGATGTCGGCTTTCTCGTTACCCTCCACCCCCTGGTGTCCAGGCACCCACAGCAAAGTGACTCTGTTGTTAGCACCCAGGCTTTCTAGGGATTCAATGCAGCTCCATACAAGCTTGGAATTTATCTTGCTGGAGCTCAGTGCTTTAAGAGCAGCCTGACTGTCTGATACAATACTGATATTTTTGTTTACTAGAGGTTTATTCGACAACTCTCTAGCACACAATGCAATTGCGAATACCTCCGCCTGAAAGATTGTAGCATATTTGTCGAGATTGACGGAAATTTCCGTCTTCGGTTTTCTGCTGAACACACCGCCTCCCACTCCACGAGGGGTTTTCGAACCATCTGTGTACATTACGTGTTCGGTCTCTGGGAATCGGACTGATCCGCTTGCCCATTCGTCTCTCTTCGGGAAGAGGACTTTGAAAGACTTTTTCACGTGTGTCTGAGTGGCCAACATGTCGGAAACCATTCCTAGAGTTTGGCGATTTTTTGTTTCACACAGTATCCCGGAGTGGTCCAGCAGTCGCCCCCCTCTGATTTGATTTTCCAATGACAGGAATCTGTAGGAAACCATCCTGGCTTCCCTCTCCAAGACAATGTGGAGGGGAGTGAGGTTCAGGAGGTTTTCCTTCGCTGCCGTTGGAGTAGAGGACATCGACCCTGTAATGGCCAGGCACGCCAGCCGCTGGAGACCAGCAAGCTTTGCCCTGGCTGTTCCCTGCAGACCTTTAGTCCACCAGACTACCGAGCCATACGTGACCATTGGTTTTACCATTGTTTGGTAAATCCAGTAAATCTGTTTGGGGTTCATTCCCCATGATTTGCCACATACCCTTCTGAGGTTCCAGAGGGAAAATCTGGCTTTGTTAATAGTTTTTGCCATATGGGCGTTCCAGGTGAGTCTTTTATCTAGGGTGACCCCTAGATATTTCACCTCCGTCGCAAACGGAATGCTCTCTCCATATAGGACAGGCTGACGAAGCTTATCTAGCTTTTGCCTTTTGGTAAAAGGGATGATTACAGTTTTCCGGGGGTTCACAGACATCTGCTCCCTCTCGCACCATCTGTACACAGTATTGAGGGCTTCTTGTAGGCCGTTTGAGATCGTCGCTTCAAATTTCCCTCTTACTATTAGGACGAGATCATCTGCATAGCATTGGAAATCCATCCCCTGCATGGAGAGATCGCTCAGCAGAGAGTCAACCAAAAATGACCACATAAGGGGGAAAGTACCCCGTCCTGTGGACAACCTTTTGCCGCTCTAAACCTGATCGACCCTCCCTGCAGTGAAGATATGACGTACCGATTTCCAATCATGGTTTTGATCCAGTTGCATATTTGCCTGCTGATTCCTCTACCTTGCATTGCCATGTAGAGTGATTGTGGTAGGGCGTTATTGAAAGCTCCATCTATGTCTAGGAAGGCTGCTAGCGCAATTTCCTTATGATCTAAGGAATGGCTGATCTTTCCTACAAGATTATTTAGTGCTAAATCCGTTGATTTGCCTGTTTGGTAGGCATATTGATGGGGATTTAGGGGATGCTCCCTTAGATTCCCCTCTCTAATATGCCTGTCTAGAATTCTTTCTAGAGTTTTTAATAGCAACGAGGTAAGGCTGATCGGTCGGAAGGATTTGGGTAGGGAATGATTGCCGTACCCGATTTGTGTATATACACAACCCTCGCTGTTGACCAGCCTAACGGAATGTAGCTCCACGCCAAACTCGCTCTATATAATTTAACCAGGAGAGGTAGTAAAACTTCTCTACCCTTTTGTTAGAGGGCAGGAAAAACTCCGTCCTCTCCCGGAGACTTGAATGGGGAGAAACAATTCACCGCCCATTCCACTGACTCTGGGGTGACCACCATTGAGGCATTCTTCCAGTCCTCCTTTTTTGGTCGTATTATCGATCCCATTGGAAGTGGAATCTGCTGACGGTCCTCCAGGAGCAGGCTGCTGGGAATGAGAGTCTGTAGAAGAACCTCTAACCTCCAATCAACTAACAGCCGGTTACATAAAGCATTAGATGAAAGATGGAATATTCAATTTGTTTATATTCATGGCAACGTAGGTAAACCTCAGCTGGTAGGTTCGGAGTTGATTCTGAGTTGAGTTAACAGAAAGCAGGGTAATGTAGCTAGCCCCAGATGTAGTACACACTACCAAAGAACACTTAATCCGTAATACTCATATTCTTTTTAAGAACTGGTTGGATTGGTACAAGGTATTGTGCAAATGCAAAACCAAATTATTTCAAAGAGAACCACCATCTCCGCAAAATTTGAAGAAAAAAAATCTAGAACCTGTAGAAATAATATAATAAAGTCAATGATTATAGTCTCTGGGGTTTACTATTATTCGTCATTCCTGAAGCTGATGACGAGACTATCATTATTCATTAACAAGTGCTTCTCGCCAAGATGGCGTCCTTTCGACATTTTGCTGGTTAAAAATTTTTTCTAGATGCCAATAGAGTTGAAGATTACAAGATAGCACGTTACTAGTCAACAGTCATTTTGTAGGATGAATATTTTTATCTGAAAATCTGGTGTCATATGGAAAGTTGAAATCAATTTTTAATTGGAATCAAAACGTAGCATTTGAACTAGCAGTGGGATGAAATATAATGAGTCGTTCGAAGGTTAACTAGAAGGAGGGGTTAAGGTTACTTTGTGGAATTTCCATCCACTATTGTAATCAATTATTGGAATAGTGAAGATGAGCAAATCGATTATAAAGAGGAGAATAATTATTTGAAAAAAACGCGAGGAGTTATAAAATTAGAGGAGTCGAATGTGTCAAAACTGCTTGCAGCCCAAGTTGATGGATTTCTGAAGAATTAAAAAATCATCTGAAGAAACGTTATCAAAGTTTGATCAAGGATAGCTGAATCGATGCATTTTTTTTTTCATTGAGGAAAGTAGTAGCAGCCAAGGAATATTTCAGTTGAGTTGTCATATTGTAATATATCATTCTCCATTCTTCTCAAATTATCATCAGCGTTTAATTTAATTCTTGGGTCGAGAAGTAATTATCATCTTGACAATCATCCACCATATAATACAGGGTGTTTCCGAAATTGGGATGATGAATAAAAGGAGGGGTTCTATGAGACATAATGACACGATAAATCACAAGAGAATATTTTTTTTTTAATCTTCGAACAATATGCGCTTCTTTCATACTACATCTTTCAACTATTATTGAACGTCCGGCAACATTGCATAAGTCACTGACACTTCTGGTGCTTGTTATCTTGCCGAAAGCAAACGCTTGAGTTGGGCTATTAACCTCTGATCAAATGATTTTCAAAAGTTTCAGCCAAAGTTCGGAGCTCAATATCTCTTTTTTTCGACAAAAATGTTTTTTTATGTCGTATTGTTTTTCCGTCTCCTATCATCTATTCAATTGATTGCCCCAATTACATAAACACCCAGTATAATGGACATGTTAGCGATGTTCAATGGATACCCATTCAAGATGGTCTGAATGTCCAATGAACGTCTATTTATCACCCAGAGTATATCCTGAGGACGTCCGAAGGATATCATTGAACACCAACTGGACGTCCTCAAGCTATCCTGCATGGTGGCTCAAGTATATTCATTGAATGTCTGTGGGACATAATTTGAAGGGAAGTAGACAGTTATTGGGTTTTAGGAATATCTTGTATGGATTACCAGTAAACATCCATAGGATGTCTGTGTTTTATGGTATGGCCATATACATAAATATATTTTTTCTGTGACGGGAAAAAAGTTTGGCATTTCATCCCTGTTGGCAGGTTATAAAATGTCACTTTTCATAAATTACTTTTTTCCCGTGGGAAAAAAGTGAGTACTTCTTTCCCGGATATATATCACATATATTTACACTGTTGATGGCTTTTGTTGTGCTATAGTTCCGAAAAATGAGTCAATAATACCGTCTCCGAGAAAGAACTGTAAGTCCTTTTATCTTCCATTCGACTTCGCGGTTACGTGTATTGCTAAATAACCACTGAATTCGCAATTTCTTGAAATAAAATCACAAAATTAGACTGACAGAAGTGACATCAGATATTTGATTACTTCAAATGAATGATAAAGATGCCTACAACGCGGTGTCCCTACTGTTAAAAACTTAAAATTTCACGTCGATAATTTTCAGATATCAAAATAATGTAATATCTTCTCAATATTGATTTGTCCTTTCTTCTGTCACAGAAAAAAATAGTGTATTATACACGGGAAAAATATTAGATTTTAGCTCACGGTTTGTTGTCTCCCTCCGCTACGCGTCGGGAGACAACACAACCTGGAGCTAAAATCTACTACTTTTTTCCCTTGTATAATAAATAATTTTTTGAAATGAATACATACTTTTGATCATTTTTGGCAAATCCTTTTTCAATCTTTTCGGGTCTGTTTTATCAGTTTTTGGAATCTTCTTGACAAAAGGTCTCTCAGCACAGTCCATATAAATCACTGAAGGTTGCAAGAGTCTGGATACTTTCATAACTAAGTGAATGAGCATTATTAATCCGGATTTGCCCGGATATTTCCCGACGATGTTTGATGGGGTCAAGTCGAATAGTACTGCACCTGCCTCAGTACATATAGATTGCACCTGAAACCATGCCAGATAATAATATGAACGTGTTGATAGTATCACAAAAGTGGAGCAAAATTATTTATTGTGGAAATAGTCGGGTATATGTTTCTACATTCATTGATAGAAATTCATATAAGAATAGGAATGGATCATGGTGGATAAAACGCTGAGAAATTTATAAAATACTCAGAAAGAAAAAATATCATTAGATGAGAATTGAAATACATAACTACGAAAGCCTAGGAAGGCCACTGTTGTGTGTATTTCATTTTATATCTGAATTTAGACTCATTTCTCAGAATTCAGACTGTCGTCCCTGAATCCATACTTTTTTGTCTGAATTCAGTGTTGTTCTCTAAATTCTGACTTTTTTCTCTGAGTGTAGACTTTTTTCTCTTGATTCAGTCTGAACATCCAAAAGTACCTACACGCCAAAAAATCATGAGCATGAATTCCTAGCAGAAAAAATATGTAGGTTCGTATATGCAGGCATTTTTCTGCAAAACGATTGTTTTGTGATACACAGGGTGAAACTTCTCAAACACATTTTGTGTAACGCTGAAATGGAATGAATAGGCACATTCAATTCTGGTATATCCTTTAACTCATTTCTCATTCATAATCACACCAGCGTGAGACCAATATCAGTACAAAAATATCTCTGTAGTCAACGAAGTGTCAGCTGAAAAACTATGGAGAAACCTTCTGATTTCTGACAGTTGTAATTGAACAAAATGCGTCCCTGAAGTTGCATTCTGTATAGGAAACGATAAACGTCTTACTCTCTATTTTTCTGATTTTTTGGAACACCTTGTATACACTGAATTCAGAGGAAAATATCTGAATTTATAATAAGAAGTGTGAATTCAGCGAAAAAAGGCAGGATTCAGAGAAAAAAGTCTGAATTCAGAGAAAAAAGTCTGAATTGAGACGAAAAAGTCTAAATCCAGCTGACAAGAAAGTGTGAATTCAGACGAAACGTCCACATTCGGAAAAAAGTTCTGAATGAAAAGATGAAATGAAATTCACAAAACGGTGGCATTTCTACGCTTCCGTACATAACATAGGTATATTACATATATTGATAAAATGCGGAGAATTATAGAAATGGATATTTTCCTGTAAGGTTAAGGTGTCCAGAATGATTCTTAAAAAATCTGTGAATATTATTTCTTACTGCCATGCTTTATCTCCAAAAATGAACATTGAATTTTTAAATTGCACGGAATGGAATTTATCCAGTGTGGCGGTCAGGCTAGAATAAACCTACGGTAGGTCCCGACTGTCGTTGATATGGCGACTAATAGGACGTCAATAGGTGGAAGATGGCTAACCCCATCGCCTAATACGATACTACCAGATACACCAGGCGCTGTGATATTGGATATATCCATGTTTCAGTAGCTGGTTGATGTTTCCGGCCAACCCAACCTAATCAAACTCCCGTTTTCTTATATTATAGAAAAATCAACGATGAGTTCTCCACAATAACCATTCTCCAAAAGTGAATATCCACTCCACTAGGATTTCCGGGCGAGAGGTGCTAGAGGAGGTTAACCATCGGCCGATAAATGCCTCAAGATAGACCTTTGTAACATCCGTGGTCAGAGTAAGAACATCAACGATGTCCATCGACAACTTCAAACTGAAAAGCAAGTCAGATTTGCTCTGACTGATACACAAGTCAATTCATGCACTAACACGACCAAATGCTCTGTCCTGGGTACGAACTCCATACACGTTTCAGGTTGAAAGGAGGACTCTGCCTCTATTCTAAAACGTATCTCTCATGTCATCGACAAAAAACTTTGGAACCAAATGAGTTCGATGTTATGTGGTTCAAACTCGCTAGCCAGAAACAGATCAAATATCCATCCTATGAGAGCTCTCCGAGTTCTTGTCTCTGAAGCTTGACATGATCCAACATAACCATCCAGCAGCAGAAATCATCATCATGGACGATTTCAATGTACACAACTCGGTTTATAAACTCCAACAAAACTGATGGATCTGGGTGACCAGCCGATACTTTTGCCATCACTCACGGCTTAGAGCAGCTTATCAAAAAACCCACACAAATTCCTGATATCAATAACCATTGAGCCACAATACTTGATTTATTCCTCACCAATAACCCAGCACCTCACTCCATAGATGTACGAGTACCACTAGTTGATTCTGACCACACACTTATCTCCACAACCTTCCCATTTTTCATTCCTCCAACTGCTCTAGCACGTCCACGTCTTGTATGGCACAATTACTTCGTTATAACAGTAGGAGAAGAATCAACAAGTAACATGAAGAGAAAAAATTGTACACGAAATTTTCAATTCGTTATTTTTCGAAGACGTGAATGAAACTAAGATATACAATACCATGAACATACCTCATAATTAAGTCAATCAGAGAATGATATTGTCCAAGGGCCATCAGGAAATCGGTAGTAAGTCCTATATCCAAAAGCGGAGATAAGCTGAATGTGGCTAGCTATCGTGCCATCTCGCTTATACAGGGTGTCCGGAGATAAAACCGACAAAACTCATGGGGTTATAGGGACTATCAATATGATTGCAAAATGCCATAAACGAATGTCCAAAACGGCTTCGTTACTGAGATACAGAGTGATTCGTGGATTTTGACAAAAAATTCAATCCGCCATATAAAATACAGGGATTAGCCGATTGGATTCAAATTTGGTACATGAATTACACTGAAAAGCATCAACAAGTAGCCCTTTGATCGAAACCAACATCAGGAACGGAATAATATTTTTCCCCTATGTTGAGTTATTGTTAGGATAACTCATCCTAAATCATAATAACCAAAAATTTCAACTCAGATTCGCAATCTACGGAGAAAATTGTATAGGAATTTGTTGAAAAATCTCCTGGCACCATCTTAGTTATTCCGTAAGTGAATATTATCTTGATTTTTTTCATTGAAAAATCAATCATTGTCGGATAAAGTACGTATATTTACGAAACCATGACATGAATGTCGTTATTTTCTTCGATCAGTTCATGAATCGGAGTAAAATGAAATATTCTCATTACCCGAAAAAACTGAAGAATAAATTCGTATCAGGACTGGAATGAGTGCTTTGTTTGGTCATGTTAGCTGACCTAGTACATCAATAGTTATCAATAATCTGATCGTAGATTCGGAAGCTAAAAAAATCGTATAAGAACCTGTTAAAGAAGGGTGAAGTTTTCGTAAATTATATTCGCTCACTAATGAATTTGAATTTATGAGAATACTACACAACGAACAATAACTGTTTGTAATGAACATAACAAAAGCAACAAATTCGTGAAATAATCTCACTACCCAGTATTACAAAACATTTTCGAAGTGGAGCCCTCCAACATCAATACATTTTTGAGAGCGTGCTATTAGATGATTCACTGACTTGCGAATTATTTGAGGGTTTTTTCTAACACTAACACATGCAGCAGTGATTTCTCATAAAACATTTCTTCATTATGAACTTCTTACTTTGAATGACCTCATAAAAAATAATCTAGCTGAGTTAGATCATGGGATAGCGGTGGCCAATTTACTGAACCTCCACGGCCAATCCATCGATTGGGGTAATTGGCATCGAGATGGTTTCTAACTTGAACTGAAAAGTGAGGTCTAGCACCATCATGCTGAAACCACATACCTCAGGTATTTACACCTTGCAATAGATCCGGTCAAGTATTGACCAGGAAATTTAGGTAAACATCACCAGTTAAAGCCCAAACACAAATAGAATATCTGCGTATTTCTCATAAGTGAAATGAAACGGCATCATAAGTACACTCTCAGAACTATAGTTTGATCCTAAAAACACTGGAATAATAAATGAACACCAATAAAACAAACTCTGATGACAGCTGAACAATGGTTTTCCATAATGAAATTCTGAGTTTGACACAAGCCTAGTATTCTTTATACACAAACATTATAAGGTACTCATACGGATTTATTATTTGAAAGTCCAATCCGATCATTTTTCAACAAGTCTTTCTCAGTGCATTCCGTATCTGCGATCAGATCATTGTTATACTAGATCATCTATTCTTACAGGAATATAATCATAGGAAACCGCATTCCAGTCCTGATACGAATTTATTTTTCAGTTTTTTATTTTACTACGATTTACAGACTGATTGAAGAAAATAACGATATTCATGTCATGGTTTCGTTAATATTTATTATATTACCAATTTTGATAGTACTTCATCCGACAATAATTGAATTTTGAAAGAAAAAAAAAATAATTAATTACGGAATAACTAAGATAGTGCCAGGAGATTTTTCAACAAATTCCTATGAAATTTCTACCGTAGATGTCGAATCTGAGTTGAAATTTTTTGTTATTATTATACAGGGTGAGTTATTCTCACAATAACTCAACATAGGGAAAAAATATCATTCCGGTCCTGATATTGGTTTCGATCAAACGGCTACTTGTTGATGCTTTTCAGTGTAATTCGTGTACCAAATTTGAATCTAATCGGTTAATCCCTGTATTTGAAATGGCGGATTGAATGTTTTGTCAAAATCCACAAATCACTCTGTATGTCAATAACGAAGTGGTTTTGGACATTGGTTTATGGCATTTTGCAATCATATTGTCGGTTTTATCTCCGGACACCCTGTATCAACTCTAGCTAGAGTGTATGATAAAAAACAATAAAAAAAGACTCGTCAGTTGTCTCGAAAAAATTATCGCTCTATCAAAAACTCAATTTGGATTTCAAACTGGAAGATCAACGCAGAATGCATGATGAATGCTGATTAATGAAATAGCCACTAATGTTGATAGGAGAACACCAACTCTCTGAATTTTCATTGACTTGGCAAAAGCGTTTGATACAGCTAGCCATGCATACTCAGCTTCTGGATTTCTTGGAAGGATATGGTATGAGACAGTGCCTACTCTATCAGTAGGCCCTGTATGAGAGGAATAACACATTCATTGCTCAGCAGTTATCTCAAGAATAGACAACAGTGTGTCAATATTG